CGCGGAGTCTCAGCCTAGCTTAACATGTGTAATCCCTGCATTCATTAAATTTCATTATATAATGACATCTATATAAATGAATAAATATGTTATGTGTTTTTGTGTGGTCCACACTTGAGGCTGGTATGAACAGTCATTAAGACCTTGGGATGGCGAAAAGGGCGACATCGACGCTTGCAAGGACAGATCCCACATCACGAGAAGTTGAGCTGGAGCTCCCGAAGTGGAGAGAAGGCAAGTTTGTCGCAGGGCACACAGCTTCCTCCGCTTTCTTTTCAGTTTGTAGCACAATTGATTTCAACTCGTGCTATGGCGAGTAGTGCCTCGGTGGATGATAAGTGCCTCGGACTTGCATCCGAATGGCTGTCAAAAATAAGCAGCGGCGCGAGACTTGTTCCGAGGTGGTGAAGTTTCTGAACACCCACAAGGACCAGCGTAACATTGATGCCGGGGGGGCACACGACGGCCACATGCAGCCATTCTCTACCAGAGGTGGCACAGTTGAATCAGCTGTTTGCTTCTCGAAATGCACCTTTGGCATGACAGATAAGAGAGATGTGGTGAGGTTGGGATTGTGGGCATGATCGGCTATTTTGGCAGGTGGGCGGAGCAGTCCTTGGAATTGTCAGCAATCAAGCCTGGATGTTCACGGGAGTTCCTCACATATGCTTGTACTGGAGCCATCCACACTCGTCGGCAGTTAGTTCATGTGCATCCCAAGCCAGGCATGCAAAGAAACAAATCCCATTGGGCCCCTGGATGAGAAGAAGCGTTCCTGGGCTCAGATTCCACAAATGAATATTACAATAATCCGTGTGCACTGGGCCCAGATTGCTTGCGCATCCTGAAACAAGAACAGACTGGGGATCGCTGCCAACAGATGTATAACGCCGCGAGCGGTGCAGCGTCCGTTTTTCCATCATATTTGATACTTGTGTTTTTTGTTGTTGCATGTCTTCTTGTTTTCTCGAACTTCTTCTCAGACTTGCAACAACTACGTTGCAGGGTAACATGTTGCTGGCTGGCAGAATTCCTTGGCTGAATTTGACGACCAGGTCAGACAGCCTTGGGTGCACCCGAACGAGCTGAAAAGCATGTGCCTGCCTTGGAACATTGCACTTGTCATAGCCGCGTTCGTTTTGGGCAGCAGCATTGGTGCACGTGAGCGGCGTAAGTTTGAGCAGACTGCCCAGAAACATTGAGAGAACTTGTCAACACCGGTACACCGGCAAACTTAAACCCTGTGCTTGTGACCTGCGATATGATCGATATGTGGGATGGACAACATCAGGGCCAGTGCTTTGTTTAGGTTTTCCTCGAGTGGTTGGGTGTGCGACGGACGAGATTTCACTGGTGGATGCCGGAGTGGTTGCGATCTCAGCCCGCTAGGCTGAAATGTTGCAGATTTATGGCTGTGCAAAGATAGCATATGTAATCATATGTATGGCAACATGCTCTGAACCAGGCCAGACCGACTTTCACCAGACCAATGCACGGGGCTGATTGCAGGATGCGGGGACAACTGACTGTCTTGTTACTGTTGATCAATAGTCTGGTAGTAGTGTGATTTGTGCTCGGACGCATTCCAGCTTGTGAAGTTTTGATTGTAGGACGCGTTTTCTGTGCCACTGCTATCATTCATTTTGTCGTTGTTGCTTGTTGGAGTTGCTTTGGTTGAGGTGATTGTTTTGCTTCCCTTGCTATTTAATTGTACTTTACGTGTGGAGTTTGCCTCATGGCCTCATGGTTTACTTATGTGCACTTGCAGATAAATCGACAATGGTATTTGAGGTCTACACTGTGACCTTCCGGTGCACCACCAGTGGCTTTGACCTTTGTGAGAAGTGTGCATACGCTTCGAGCTTAGACTTGTTGGGAATCGGATGTGGCTATAGCCGGAATATTCTATCGTGGTGCTGTATGTTTCAGTCAATAATGCAAATTCGGGCGCAATAGCAGAAAGCGCTTGTGCTAGGGAGTCTTTGGCCTTGGAAAGCTAGAACACAAAGACCGGCAACAGTAGATAAATTATTAGAAGAATTGGGTAATGACACCAGAAGTTTTAGGAAAGGGAATTGCCATGCCAGTGCTACAAGCAAGCATGACGCTACCATCAATATCACCAAATAGCATCCAACAAAGTCATCAAAGCAATTCAGGGGTTCAATTGTCTACTGTTTCCAGTCCATTACCCAGCAGGCATGGTTGAAACAATCCAGCAATGTTGAAGCAACATTCAGTTCAGAAGCGCAGATTTTTTGTGGAAACTGGCCCCTTCCAATGAAACATGAGTGATCCTTTATTTAATTTGAATGTGTGGTTACGCTGCATTGCTACATCCAGCGGTGGCTTCATGATGTTTGGTGTTTTTCAGTGCCGTGACCTAGGACGCAACACTGGGACGGGTCAGCGACGAATCGATGCAATCAGACCTGGAGGCCATTGTTTTTTAGTCGTTTGGATTCGGCTTTAGAGACTCAACTTCGGTAAGCATGAAATGCATTCTTTGGATGTTTGGTAAACGTATTTTGATGTCCTTGGCTAGATGTATACTGATTGAAGTCGCGGGCGACATTCTTGTTTGATGAAGTTTGTGCAGGACTTCGCAATGGTTGGCCGATGTTATATAATGTTATATATATATATCACGAAAGCTAGCGAAGCTAGCTGGAGTTACTCTTGCGATAGCAAGGTTTCTTTCGACCGGGTGCAAATCCTAACCCCTGATTTTTCAGGTCGAAGCCCCCCCCCCC